ATTGAAATCCTCACTCTAGCTGTAATATACGAAATGTATGTTCTCACTCAGCTTCAAGAACAAGTACACACAGACCTAAAGCACACACAGTATATTTACTTTCACAGTAAAATTCTTGTTGACCAAAAAATGCCATAAAACAGCAGTGGCTTAAAGCAACAATGAATATATAAAACAGTGAGGCGCTGCTCCAACATTTGCCACTTAAGGCTGAAATGAATTCCTTGAAGAAGAAGCTTCCTATACCTCCATCAATCTCTGCCTTCTTAACTTAATCCAAAGCTAGACATATTTTCAGTCTATATGGCATGATTTCAATGTTATGATAATGTGTTTCAGCAATTCAATTTAGTCTGTTACAAAGTAGTGTCAAGAAAATGAGAGATACTATGTGTGGAAAACGTCATAGAGGTTTAATCTAGAAGGTTTTTGCACCTATTACCAGTAGGGTGATGGGAAATCATCCTTATCCACACATTTTTTTTTTTTAATATAAAAAATATATTGTTGAAATTTAAAGACATTATAATGGCATATTACAGTGCAGCATTCATGTTTTTATATAATGCTTTCACCCTAATAGGCTTAGTTTTCAACTAATTAAACAGACTTTAGTCGATTTCCCTTAATTTAGATTACATGTCAAGGCGACTATGGGCTTGGCTGTGTCTGATTGGATGAATTGGATACTAAATTTATTGGGTTATAGAACAGTCTGCAATTCTAACCTCTTCACATAGTCTAGAAGAACATCGCAAGGTTTAAAGAAGATGGGTTCATAGCAAAAAAAGAAAAGAAAAGAAAGGAAAATAAACCTTCTTCCAAAAAAAACCCATAACAAAATGATTTATTGAGTTTTTATTTTACTATTTTGCATGGTTTAAGTTTATAATAAGATCTTAAAGGGATCCATAATCTCACTTTGAGGTTATCCATAACTTTACAGATACTGCAATACTCAATGGGATCTATGTTATATTTGCTTATATCTAAAAAGCTGTGGTTAAATCAAAAGTAATATCTTAATAATTTGAATGTAGTTAAATGTGGTACAGCAAGTCTGTAACTCCAAATCGTAATCTAGGCAACTTCTATACTTTCTCACATACTTTTCAAACATGATAATCCTTGTGAGATTCATCATTATTTCCTTTTTTTTTGTATTTTGTTTGCAAACAAAACAACCCCCTCCCCACCACCACCACCAGTTTCTTTTATATTCTTGGGGACAACTAGATCTTCTTGGTCACAGCGTTGTTTGTTAAAATGCTCTCCATTAAATCTGGAATATGTGCCTGCACAGGCCACTTCTGTTGGGATGAAATGCAATTCTCTGATGGATGCTTCACAGGAAAGTGGAGGAAAGGCGTGTGCAGAATGATGATGGGCTGTTTAGGAACGTGGAAGCTCATGTTCCAACTTAAGCTTCCCTATAATTAGATAGTGGGGTCTACAGCTTCCTTTGCACCAAAAAAAGAAAAGCTGGAATACGTAAGTCTGGACTATGCACATTTTATATATAAACAATGTGGGTCTAGGTCAGAAATTCCACACTAATGTTTCTTTCACTATTTTTACAGATTAATTTGTGTAAAATGGTGAAATAAAGGTGGCGGTTCAATTTCTTGCACTGTTGCCTTGCAGGAAGAAGGTTACAGATTGTATTCCTGGCCAGTTGTCGTTTTGCATGGAGTTTACATGTTTTCCCTATGCATGCATGGGAGATAGGAACTGGTCCCACTGCAACCCAGACGGAATAAGTGGAAGATGATGGATGTTGGTTGAAAAAGAGAAAGTTTGAAACCCAATAAAATGAAAGATGTAGCTGGAAATTTCCTTTGGTAAATTATGTTTTTTTTTTCTTTTGTAAAGAAGTTGGGGGATGTGGACCCTTATGAAATCCAAATCCTTTACAAATTATTATTTGGTGTGTAAATAAAGTAAAACAAAACTGGCTTGTATGAGTATTTATTACGTGTTTCCTCTTGGCAGAATTCTGACTTCATGTAAGTCTAATGCAATTTTTTCAGTTATCATCCCTGACATCTTCAGTATAGCTTAAATGTAGTATAACCAGTGAGCCTTCTGTTATACAAAAAACTGTTATTTCCCAGGAGTGAGCTAACTGATAAAACCAACTGTTAACCAATACATTTGTTTTCTCTGACGGCTGCATTGGTATCTATCACTAAATCAATAACAAGCAGAGTTTGCTAATAAGTTTTACTTTACTATTAAAGCTAGATATAAACATTCTAAGTCACAGATTAGATGAAAGCTCTTAGCTTTAATAACACTGGAGAAACCTACCTCTGCAAACCCATCTCCTTGGTAAGCAGTGGGCTGCCATTGTGTGGCGCCCAGGAAGCAGTGTGGGGTTAAGGGACTTGCTCAGGGACCCAGAGTGAAGGTTGTGGGGATCGAACCAGGTACTTGCAACTAAAAGATGATTTGTAAGGCTTTTTATTTAGTAATGTTTGCATAGAACCATCCATAGCTATCTTTCATAACTGGTTGGGTAAAGTTCTAGATCTACCAAGTTGAAGTGGACACTGGATGTCAGCATTTGATAAATATGCATTTGATAAATATTTTTCATTGTGTTCAGCATTAGGTAGAACTGATTTACTACCACACTTCCTGTTACTCATTACCCAGATGCTGCTCTATGGCTTCCCCCTTTTTTCCTGTATTGTACTCATACTGATAGCTTCTTCTCACCTCCTGCAGTTTTCTCTAGATCTCTCCTTTCACTGTTACAAATGCTATTAACACTGCTTATAAAGCTCTAGTTTGTGTCACTACTAATCACATCACATTACTTTTTCGGACTGTTGAGGATCTCGCCCACATTGAGACGGTTCTTAGTTATAGTGGAAAAAACAACCTACAGGTTGAGGAGTAAAGGTAAAATGGGACATGTTGAGTAAAATCAGTACTAATGGAAAAGGGGTTAAAGAGATTGGATGATGACCTGTGGAGATCCTATAGAGGTGCTGCACCACCTCATAGGATGGAGACAGATGAGCTGGTTGTTGAGATCTGATCAGGATACTTCTCAGTCACCATCTTTTCGTGTTTTATCATGCACAGCAGCTGGAAGGCAACCCTAGGGCAAACCTAAAATTCAGTGAAGGGGTTATGCTGCCCTTTGTGTCTGGGAATAACCCACCTAATTACCTGGAAAATCTAGTTGGATAAAAGGATGACTAAATTTGCCTGATTTTCCACAAATCTGGCCTTAATTTTTCTCTACAGTTTCACTCCCAACTCGTCACATATTGATGCTTGGTCAAGTCTTGTGCACGTCACATACTGACGCGACAGGGATACCCTTCTTATCAGTTATGTTGCAATGTTAGAATTTTGCTTGGGTAAGAGATTGTGCATGTATTTTTAATTTTTTCTTTTTGTCATGAGTATCATTGTGTCACCAGTGTTGCCCTCTCAGCCAATATCTGCTTCAGATACATACCAGTTCCCAGCAACCCTTCATGGATAAGCTGGTACAGACAGTGGGTGGATGGATGAATACTTGGTCCTACTGAAGGATCACTTACCTGCAACGGTAATCTAATTCTGCATGGGCTCTGCTTTGCCTGATTGATTCGCTAGGCTGTTACACAGTATGCAGCAAGATCTTTTGGACCTTGTTAACAGGCATAAACTTGCGGTATAATTATGTCATTTTCAGGCGGTGGGAAGTTGTGCAATTCTAGCAAATCATGCATCTGCTACAAACATTGTTGAAATTAATTAGATTTTAATATTAAAGTAAGATGCCTTTGGAAGCCTTGTGTAAATTTGTGGGCTGAATGACTGTGTAATGACCAGAGATGGGAAGTAACGAAGTACAAATACTTCGTTACTGTACTCAAGTAGATTTTTCTGATATTTTTACTTTACTTTACTACTTATTTTTATGGCGACTTTTTACTTCTACTCCTTACATTTTTACACAAATATCTGTACTTTCTACTCCTTACATTTTAAAAAATTGGCTCGTTACTTTAGTTTTGAATCATTTCAATGGAGTTACCGTTATTATTTTTCACGTCATCAATACCAAATTCAGTCTAATTGGATGGGAATCTACGTTGCATTTGACGCACCACTACAAGATGAATCGACAGATTCGGCGGTATTCATTGGTGGCAAATCATTGCAGCTTGGTGGCGGTGGCGTTAGCATAGTAGCATGGACGACGAGATGATTGAAAATGAACACAACGGAGATCTAGTCCTATTGGCAGACATCCATTTAAAATGTAGGCAATGGCATGAAAAAAAGTGGTTTCTACTTTTACTTTTATACTTTAAGTAAATTTACAAGCCTGTACTTTGTTACTTTTACTTGAGTAAAGAAGTTTAATCAGTACTTCCACTTTTACCAGAGTATTTTTTAACACAAGTATCTGTACTGTTACTCAAGTACGGAAAGTAAGTACTTTTGCCATCTCTGGTAATGACCTCATCTTTTGGTCATTATACTCTTTTCCCTTATACCACTTTCTCATTTGTCTCCAATTTACTTAAGTATGAATAGAAAAGCTTTTCTGAGACTCACTTTCTCTCCTCTTTAACTTTCATTGTATTAATAAAGAAAGTCAGAAAATAAGACAGAAGTTGAGAGGCGGTGGGAAGGGCGCTTTCTCCTCGCCTCTTGCGGTGTACTCTGTTTTCTGCAAACCACCAGCCTTTTAAAAACGCAATTTAACAAATGACATTTGAGCTGAGATTTTGGACGAGCCCATTTCTGGAGGAATAGGGGGAGATAGGCAGGCATGACGCAAAAGGTGTTATAGAAAAATGTTCCTCTAAACAACAATCACATCTATTCTCCAATTTTAAATAACAAAAAAGGTAAGTGCTCTAAGCTGTGGCCAAGATATCTTTTTTTAATATAATAATTTACTTCATTAGATATTACAACTATCCCTCCAGCTTCATTTTGGTGCAGTCCTCGGCTCCTATTGGTATCCACACCGTCAGAAACTGCTGCACAACATGCTGGAGACCGAGGTGGCTCTGCTCCCCTGAGTTAACTTTTGTTGTTGCTTTATCTCCAGAGAGGAGGAGGCGGAGGAGGTCGATGAGACAGAAGGGGAGAAAAAGTCAGTCATGCCAAGAGGTTAGGGCTAGAGCCGGAGGAGCGTCTCCTTGTGAAAGAAGTCCATCGGTATTTGTTTGCGTTGAAGTGGGGGAATAAGGAAAGGAGGAGGGGGAAACAGGGGAGAGAAAAGCCCAGAGAAGAGCGAGAGAGAAGTGGGGTGAAAGATGCAGCCGTCCGCGGTGCTGTTTGGCGTCCTGGCAACTTTCCTGCTCCACCAGAGTCCAGGTAGGAAACAGGAGCGCGAGGCGAACCTGAAACTGCATGGGAGCTTATTTTGGAAGAGTTACGCTGTTTTTTTTGTTGTTGTTTGTTTCTTTTAAATGATCGAATCTTTCTTTTTTTGAATTACATTGTTTCTAAAACTTAGAAACAACAATGGTCAACTTTTCCCACACCGGGGATAATTGGTGTGTGTGGGGGGGATGTTTAATTTCCTTCTTTGAACTTATTTTCAAACATTCTGGAATTTGATGGACTGGTGAGCGCATATGTGTTGATATGAGTTGCAGAGTTCTTTAAAGTGATATTTGTTTTTTATTTTTTATTTACTATAACCCTTTTTGCTTGCTTTGCAATGCAATAAACAAGTGAACTATAGGTTTGCACGGATTTAACGCACAGGCCTATAGATTGATTAAATGTGGTTTGAATGGTGCGGAAATCGCATTTAAACAATGGGAGGTGTGTGTATAATGCAAGTGTGCTGTCAGATGATTTTACTTATTTATTTATTTATTTATTTATTTATTTATTTATATTTACCAGCACAAGCTGATGTAGCACAAAAAAATATTCCTTCTTGGGTCAGAATACAGAATGTTTTACTTACCAGATGCAGGTAATTAGGCATCAGATGCATACAATCTTAAGATCTTTCAGATTTTAGTTTTGTTTCCATGAGCTTGGAAAAATTCTGTTGACTTTGACAATCTTATAAAAAAAATAAAAAAATCAAAGGTTCTCAGAAAGTGATTGCAGGATATGAAGCCTTTTGTGCTCATTGCAGGTGGAGAGAGGTGTTTATCTATGATAGCTTAGATCCTCTGCCCCCACCCCGATCCCCTTCAGCAGCACTTGTTGTAAGTATCAGGGTTTTCCACCCCCCCCCCCTGTCCAATGTTTCTCCAACACTTTGTGTTTACAACATGTTAGAACAGCCGCTGGAATGCGAGGACTCACTGAAGCCTTCCCCAAACACACACAGATGGGGCTTAGCATTATTATACACATGGATGCCCGGTGCCGTGCTCTCTGACATGTCACAAAGATTTCCCTGACAGCTTTGTGAAAATTACATCTGTAATTATCTGGTAGGATCCAAGCAGGAGGTTGGTGGAGGTGTGACATCTCCGAAATGTCACCAGTAGACCATCTTTAAAATGTCAACCATATATGAGTCAATATTTCTGGAAACAAAAGCTACAATGGATGGTCCACATCTTATTATCTGTTATAGTTGGGATTTTCATCTTTTTTCATATGTAGTTATTAATGCCCCACCAACACACACACATACACACAATGTTCCCCTGTCTGATGCCAGGAGCCATGCTGGTTTGATTATGGACTAGTTCTGTCATAAAGCAATTAAGTCTGCCAGGCGTGTGTCATCTATAAAACACGCCTTTGTCTGCTGTCTCTGATTGCCATAGGCCACTCCTGGCATTGATTGCAGTAGGCCACCACTGGCATTTTAAATGGAGGATAAATTGTATATCTCCATTAAATGTCCTTATTTTTGTGATAATGCTGCTAATAAACGATGTGCAGCTTTAATATTAAAATGAACTTCTTAAAGTTTGCCCCCTTTCCTGCCAAGTAAAACCAATTGAAAATGTTTCTTCAGTTTCAGGTGCTTATTAAGTGTTTAATCTAATAAAAGTAAAATGTATTAGCCAGAAAGAATGAAAAACAAGGCTAATGCCATGATTTTAAAGTCGCCTTATGGCACCATTAAAGTCAGCTGCTGGTTCAAATTGACATGAGATAGCCTGGGGCTATAATTTATTAAACTGTGTTTATGTGTGTGTGTGTTTGTGTTGTGTACATGTCTAACATGTGTGTGAGGTCAAAATGCCTTCTCAGCCAAATCCACTGGCCTTGAAGTAACGGGCTGAGTGGGACTAATGGCATGTTGGCAAGTGTGTTTCACAGTTTAATGGTGTTCTCTGGGACGATGCTTCTCCTCAGCCCCTCCTGCAATTCCCATAGAGGTCCTGTTTTCATTCACTGATCAGCTATTGATTGGACTCGCAGGTTGCATTGGGAGCCTGATTTTTGTCCCAAAAGAAGAAGTTTCATGCCTGCAATTTTTCAAAAAAGCGTGACAGAAATGAGTTGTGATATGTTGGGAAAGCTATAGAGCGTTCAGTTTACACAATAATGCTTCATCTGTGAAAGAAGGCTTCTGTACGAGTCAGACAGCTGGGAAAACATCCAGAATAAGGTTTGCAGTCATTTTTTTTCTTTTTTATGTAGCCACTCTAAAATAAGAGAGGAAAATATAAATGGTTTGTTAAATTGAAATTGTTTTTTTTACTTCTATCTTACTAGTCTAAGGTTTACTTCTCTGAATTAGGTATATGGCCAAAACCTAAAATCCAAAACACAGCCCTTCTTTGTATAAAACATTTTCGGCCCCGTCTTTCTAAAAAAAAGATTTTGGGTTTGATTGTTCATAATAACAGGGAAACGGATGTAGAGTGATTTCTTTTGATGTCTAAAATAGCTATATTTACTAAGACCACGGTGCCAGCTCAATTGAGAAAAACTTAACATGCGTTGAAGGATGTAAATTAATAGAAATTAGTTGGATTAATATTTATATCAACCATTCGTACATTTTTTTCTCAAACTTTAGAGTGAAAAAGATACAAACGCCTCCTCTTATCCTAAGTTTCAAGAAAACTGCCAGGGAAAGGGAAAAGTAAATGTCTTATCGTCGGTTCAGATTGCTCACACCCATTGTGTCCTTTACCGCTTTCTATATCCCCTGAATGGATTGATTAGTCCCCTGACAATAGGTATTTTAAGATGGCCTCTTATCAATCACAGTTTTTACTGTTTTTCTAGGCGTGGTTGCGCATACCCAGCAATCTGCAGAATTTCCACTTATGATACTGTCTTCTTGCAGAAACACTCCATGTGGCATTTAATTAAGTGTCTGCAAAGTAATTGTTTTAATAATAAATGATGATGCAAGGTTGATATTTATGACCAACACAGCCCACTGAGATTTGTGGCACTCTTATGTATCGTTTTTGGTGCAGTTCCCTCTCTATAGGGCACTGTAATTCTTTCACTGGAAAATCTTGATATGGAGAATGTGGCTTCAGTTTTTCTCTTTAAAAAGAAAGGGGGGAAAAAAGAAAATGTCATTTTTTTACTCGATAGTGAGACTTAATGTTTGAGGTTAAAGACTTGGGGGATTTAGGAGATGGAAAAAAAAAACACCATCTGCATTGCCATGTCAAGGACTAAACCCTACGTTAAATGGTTGTGAATTTTTGTACCATCTTTAAGTCTGGATGGTTAGGTTGGCGTTGGCCTGGCAGTTGCTTACAACTAGGGAAGGGGGAACAGGCCACCCGATACTCCCACTGTGCTTTGTGTGTCTCTTTAGAGGGGATGGAATTGCACCTCCGAGGTAGCAGTGGAGGTAACCAATGATTACTCGCTTTCCAAACCCCCCAACATACTCTGATGGATAAATGTCAGACCTCTACCCTCCTCGTGTTCCTTCAGATCACCTGGCCCTCACTCTGCAAGTCAGCCCTTCTCTGTAAGAGACCCCTGGGCACGCTTTCGTCTTCTGGATTGTTTCTGTTTTCAAAACATGAATCTGCAGCTCCAGGGCGTTTTTCAATTATGGTCACTGCCATAATATCTGTCACAGATGTCAGTTTTCAGTGCACACAGCAAACAGACAAACAAAGTTAACCACCGTCGGCATGCTTTGTGGGGTGGAGAACAATTGTTCTCATTCTAAAAACGCAGCTGATATTTTCCAAAGTTTCATTTTATCTCTCTCTCCTCTGGGTATGTAAAGGAAAGATGGAAAAAAACTATTCGTTATAAGTTCTGGTGCATTTCAAAATAATAAATTTACTTTTTTTTTTTTTTTTTTTACAATTCACCTCGGAGCTTGAATTTATTTCGAAAGTTAGACATTTTTAAACAAATAAAAATGACTCCTTGTTAGGATCACATTATTAGTTTTTCCCCACATTACCTAAAATTTAGTTTTTGGTTGTTCTGGCTAAAGTTCTTTCCTAAGATGTAGATGTGGCATAGCTTTCTGTAAGAATGTAGTTTGACATTCACTTTTCATAGTATACCAGTTGTCATGCATCACATTGGCAGCCCATTAGAGGACTGGTGCTGAATGAAACTCCTGCCCTTTTTCCACACCAAGTTCTATAACTCTGAATTCCTTGGGGGTTGCAGATTATTGGAAACTGTAATAAACTCTGGTTTTCTCTCTCAGCGGGGGCCTGCTGTGGAGGACAGAAAGATAAGCAGGCCTGGAGACTCGCTGTCTGAGTAAACCAAAAGGGGGGTGGGGGGGGGGATACAAAGGCATTCTGAAGGACACACTCAGGTAAAGATCCATAGTTACTTAACTGTTTATTAGACTCTCTTTCCCCTTTCTGTGGTGAAGGAAAAAGGCTTCTGTTTGGACATTTCTAAAATTGGTTCATATCTTGATGAATGCATTTGAGGGAATGATTAGGGAATTATGAAAATAAAGCGTCCCTTTGTGTCCCAGTGTGGTTTTATTCACAAATGATAAGCCAATTATTCTCCATTTTAGTCTCCATTTTAAGTGAAGTCATCAGGGGATCATCTTCGTAGAGAAAGATAAAACCATTGTTTGACACCAGTGCCTACATGATTTCAGTTTAATTTGAGGACAAAGGGAATTTCCAGCAAACTCTACTTCTGTTTTTAGAGATAACTCATGAGCTCAACAGAAATTTTAGAATAGTTTTATATACACAGGAACTTATTTTGTTAAAAGATTTCTTTCCGCAGACATTTTTTTTTTCTGTTTTGACAATGCAGAATAAATATTTTTAGGTTTGCAACTTCAGATTACCATATAGTATGGCCATATAAACGGTGGGATTGTAGTAATAGAATTTAGATAAAGTGGATTTTTGTTAACGAAAAAAGTAATGCACCCTCTCCTGGCCGTTTTTTTTCTTTTTTTTTTTTTTTTTACA